GCTGGGTCAGGGAGCCCCAAACCTATCAATAAAAGGCTCGAGACCCAGCACCAGCACCAACCTGCCTTGCTTCATAGCAGGGCCTCTTCTAGGGACTTCCAAACCCCATACAAAGAGGAAGAATCTGCAGATCTCTCTGGAGCTCCTGCTGGGTGGCCCCAGGCAATGGCTGACTTTGCACCTCCCTGGAGACCCAAGAGCCAGTGGACCCAGTGGCCAGTGTCAGACCATACCAGATTGCAACTCTACACATCCGTAAGCGACACACTGAAGGGGCAGACTCAGTGAGCATCAAAGCCCCACTGAAGCAAGTCCTGCTCCATAGGGGTGTCTCCTGCACAGCAGTTCTACCACTGTAGTTGCAGCTCACTGCCAATTGTCCTGGAGGTCAATTCCTCCCAGTGACACTAACAGCAATCAAGTCTCAACTACACCAAGACTGGGCTCACAGCCCAAAAAGGGGTGCACCTAGTGTGCCCAGCTCAGGTGACTGGGAAGGCTGAGCCACTGGGCCCTATAGAACACCTACTACACAAGGCCACTCTACCAACTCAAGGAGACATAGCAGCTCTACCCAATACAAAGAAACAAACACAGGGAAGCAGCCAAAATGCAGAGACAAAGAAACATCACAAATGAAAGAACTGGAAGAAAGCAAACTACTGGATATAGAGTTCAAAACCACGGTTATAAGATTACTCAAGAATCTTCTAGAAACCTCCAAAAAATGGAAAAGGCCCAGTCAGAAATTAAATATACACTGACTGAAATAAAGAATAATATATAGGGATTCAACAATAGAGGAGATGATTCTGAGAATCAAATCAACTATTTGAAATATGAGGAAGCAAAAAATACCCAATCAGAAGAGTAAAAAGAAAAAAGAATCCAAAAATATGAAGATAGTGTAAGGAACCTCTGGGACAACTTCAAGTGAACCAACATTCTCTTTCCTCTAACAGATGAAATCATTTGCATGTTATTTCCCTTACCCCACCTCCTGATTTTTGTTAGTTGTGTTTTTATATTGTCAAAATATAACAACTTACATTTTTTTACATTAGCCTAGTTTTCACACTTATGTAATATTCACTTATATTTAAGTGAAGGCAGTGCTCCTCACCAGTCATTTTATTGGAGCTCCCACATTCATACGTTCTTTATTTTATTTATGTTTAAGTGGTCAAGCAGTTTTTTCAAGAAAGTCTGTTAAGTACTGCTAACCCTTAAGAAATGTTTTTTAATGCGTGCCTTTATTCTTGAGTGACATCTTGGCTGGAAATAATACACTTACTTCACACTTTCCTTCCTTCAGAGCTACTTTGCAGCCTTTTCTTTCCTATGTTACAGTGTTGAATGTTGCCATGAAGTAGTCTGATGTCAGCCTGAAGTTTCACCTTTGTAAATGACTCACTCTCAGCCTAGAAGTTTTAAAATTTTTTATTTTATTCTGGAAATATTGCTGTTGAACATTTTGTGTCCAATTTCCTAGAATACAATGAGGGGATTTTTTTTTAAGATGTACTTTCTTTCCTTTCACTCTCTTGGTTTTCTTTTCTTATTTCTGTAAGATGAGCCTATTACTTCCGAGAGAAATTTCTTTCCTATTTCACTTATTTCTTCCCAAAAGCCATTTCCATTACACTGTAGCCAGAAGACAAATGATAAAGTCACCCCCTCATTCGTCTCTCTTGATACCTTTGTCAGGATTCGGTGGACTTACCTCCATGGCTTCTGAGGAGAAGAAAGAGAAGTGGCTACCTGCTCTGTGGTCTTCCATTTCATTCCCTTTGGAGTTTCCTGTTTTTCCTTTGCACTCACTTTTTTCAGGTAATGGATTAAGCCTTTTCTATTGATAATTATTTTTGAGGGGGCTCTTTAATGCTTTTGTTACCTCTCTTACACACAAAGATATTCTGTAAGGCAGTTTTATTCTTCCATCTAAATATAGATATTCCTATAACTTATAATCTCAAGCTCCCCTGATAATTCATATACTCACAAAGTTCAAGATCAGTGATTCATGGCTTCTTGTGCCCAACAATACTCATTTCTCACTACCTAGGATCTACAGGGTGGGACAACAGTTGGTTTACAGTTGTGAGTATATGAAACAGTTTATTCTTGTATTATTATTCATTATATTATTTTTCATACGAACAACTGTAAACCTCCTTTTGTCACACCCTATACTTATTCTCTCTGACTCAATGTGACTTCATCTGCAACAAGCGAATAAGATCTTCCTGGCTGCACTATTGTAAGGTGGTAGCCATGAGACAAATGAGGTAATGTATCTATAATAAACGTGTAATATGCTAATTAGGCCGGACAGCCGAATGACCTTCCAGACGTCCTTCTGGACAACCTTCCAGATGAAGCCGGGGCTGCGAGGGTCAAGGCAAGCCGCCATAGCTGCAAGGGCTGAGCCCCTTGCATGAATTTCATGCATCGGACCTCTAGTAGTAATATAGTTCAGAAAACATTTTCACCCTTGAGAGAGAGGTTATCGTAGCTTCCACTTCCTCCTTACATGAACTGAGTCATGTACTCAAGTATTTATTCTTTACTGTTTGGGTAACATAATGGCAAAACTAGTTACCAGATTTTTCAAATTTCATTCTCTAGGACTGTATATTACTAGAATACCTATTACAGTGAATAAATTAAAAATTCCTTCTTTTTTTGGTGTTGTTTCTGCATAGAGACCTAAACTGTTCAAAATACCCTGAATGACATATATTCAATGATTTTTTTAAATGGTTGATTGATTCACTTGTAACCTGAAATCCCATCATAAGGGAAGACTAAGTAGCTTAAAAACAAACAAACAAACAAAAACAAAAAACACTGAAGCCCAGAAAGCAGTAAGTTCCTTTGTATATATTTATAATACTGTTCACATGATTACAGAAAAGCAGAGTAACAGAAAAGATTTCTTTCTTCAGTTTACCCCAGCTGCGTGGAAAGTGAAAAGTGAACAGCAACACCCAGCAGCGGCCATGTGTGCTTTACCATGTAATCAGGAAGATAAAGGACATGAATTAAGTGTTTAATTCTTAAAACCAAAGGCTCTATGCTGGTTTATGATAATAATCAGGGGAAGCCCACCTTAATCCTATGTCCAGTGACATTCTGCCAGCCCCTTCAGAGTCCAATAAGTTTATACTGATATACAAGTAAACCTTTAACATATGTATTGATTTTTATGACTGAGCTCCTTAAGATTCTGCCAATATGGCACCTTCCTCTGGAGTCCAGGGGTTGCTTAACTTTCTTCTTCCAAGAACGTGCCCACATCTCTGTTTCTTGCTGTAGACTTTCCATCTCAGAAAGACCATGAAAGACACGCAACTTTGCAGATACACTTACCTTCACTTTCTGAGATCAAAGGCCACTTCTTAGCAAATGTCCTTTTTCTGTTCACACCCCAGGAAGCATCCTCGCCCTGCTCTCCTCAGACAGTCACAGTGAAGGCCCATTGAAGAAGCACTTTTCCAGATCATGATATTTAGGAACTTGGAAACAGTGTTGGGACACCTCATGGTGCCATATGAATGTAAGATCCATGTGCAGAATGAACCATACAGAAGGACATAGGAAACTTTTGTTTAAAATGACAACATATTTGAAAGTTGGGTGTATTTTATTTACAAGTAACATTTAGATACAGAGGTTAATCAGATGTTTCCAAAGATCTCCACTATATTAGCAAAGACACACCAGAGAGGGAATATAGCGAGTTCATGTGTTTCCGCCATGTGACAGCAAGATCCAAGGCTGGTTATATCCAGAAGGCTTAGTAGACATAGTGCCAGATTACTTGCAAACTACAAGCATTGGGGTTTATACTTTATTTATGAATACTCCTAAATAATGTTCCTTAGTACCTTCATTCCTACCATCTACACTGTAGTGCTATCACATCAATGATATGCCTTCAGCTCAACTTAAACTCGTTATTTGATTGTCATGAGTTCTGCTGAAAAGAGTTTATGAATAAACCTTATTTAAATTGTAACCCCTCTGCTTTCTCCCACAGCCATTCTCCTGTGAATTTATTCCAGGTGTGCATTGTGTGAGACAGTCTAGCAGAGATTGCTGTCACTCATGTACACTATCAATAGTATCCCTTATGGAAAATGTTACATTGGAATTTTATAAATATATCTTAATATCAGTCATACTTTATATGTAAATACTTGGCTTTTTTAAAAAACCACTACCAAATATAGCCATTGATACTCTGAAACCAAAAGGTTTTTTACACAGGTAAAATTCTTCCTCTTTTCCCAGGAAATAGAATTCTAAAACTCCAGGAAGATCTGAATTATCCACTTGGGGATGAAGCAGCAGTCATACTGTTGCAATAGAGAGCTTTATTCATATACACACGTGTTAGTCATTCCTGGTGTGCATGATTTTCATTATCTCAAGAAAATGATTCTAACTTATGGATGGGAAAGGGAAGTTCTTATTAGTAAGGAACTAGTGCAAATGCATAGCCTAATGGCAATGCCGCATTTATAGGCCCCAGAAATCCTTTCAAGAGCACTGCACCCAGAGTCAGACCCTAGTGTATGTCCAGGATGAAATCTACAATTCTAGTTGCTATTCATGGGGCTACTAAAGAACTGAGTCAATGACAACTTATGCATATAGATGTAATTGTCTTAATTTTGAAATGAAAAGAAGAGAAATCCATATTTCCAAAGGATTTCTGCACAGAGAGTAAACACAAACTATCAAACAACTGAAACCAAAAGACTGAGATCTTAAAAAGTTTACCTGCTCCTTTTATATTACTTTTTGTAATACTTTAAGCAATAAAACAATAAAAAAAAGTTTACCTGCTCCATATATATATATATATATATAAGATCCTGAAGGACTCAGTCTTAGAATTTGCCTTTGCTCAATTTGACCTTCAGTTCCATATTGATGACCTTCAGTTCCATATTGAAGATTGAAACTATAATGAACACAGAAATTACTCAATATTACAGCAAAAAGGACTATTGGTTAAATTCACAGAAAGAATGCATAAAAGGCAGAAATCAATAGACAGAATTATGTTTTTAAAAATACATTGTGCTGCAAAACGACTTTTGCAATTACAATATCGGGTTTGGCCCCACAATGTTTAAGAGGCACTGCATTGATATAAACAGAATCATCTAACGCACTTTTTCAAAACAGTGCTTCTCAGCCAGGGCTCGTATGAATTCATTCTGCCACTAGGTGCCAATGGCACTTTTGGTTTGCTTTACTGGCAACATGTTGGCGACGCATCCTATACTAAAAGAAAGGCTGAAAGACGAGCATATGACAAGAGCCAAATCCACCGTGTTACTTCTTTTCATGCTTCTTGGTTAATTGCCCCACGCCCAGCTGGAAGCTGCCCCGGTTGTCACCGTCTCTCTCTTCCCTCTGCCGACTCTCCTGGGAGACTTGTCGCACAGCCTGCAGGATGGCATTCTGCACAATCTGTTTGCTGGCATTCTGCAGCCTCACCTCTTCAGGCTCGTTTCCAGTTTTCTCGCCTAGACAAAGATATGAAAGGGAGGTGAAAACAACAAAATCAATTTCAGGAACTGTGACAGGAAGGAGCAGGTAGAAAAGGTGAAAGCGGAGGGGAGACTATAAGAACATACTAGGGTGGCCCAGCTAATTGTGAGGAGCTCTCTGTAGCACATACCACTCTTGCCTCCCTTTCTCCCTTTCCAATAGAATCTGCATTTGTTTGCCCCAGCAATGCGCCCAATTTATATTCTCGCCATCCCAGAATCCTCTGCTGCTAGCAGAGGGTAATGAGTCATAGTCTTGGCCAAGGAAACCCATGGGAAAGTTTTTGGAAAGCGAGAGGCTCATAGCCCCTTTGGCCTTTGGCACCTCCCCTGGATGCAGACATACTGCTTGTAGGTGCTGCAACCATCTAACAATAAGCATGGAGAGGAAAGCCAACGTTCTGGGCATCGTTGGGAGACAAAAGGAGCCAGTTCTGAAGGCATCATTGAGCATCTGCACCAGCCCTGGACCATGTACTTTTGGATGTGTTTACGTGTGAGATAAATAAACCCCTTTTTGTTAAGTCCGCCACTAGTCAGGTTTTATGTTGCTAGCACCCAAAAATATGCCTAATAGATGTGAGCTCACTGGGGCTGATAAATAGCTTGTGACTGAATTCATATTAAACGCAACCCCGATCCTGTAATAGCATCCCAAAGAATGAAGCTATTCATTCATCAGAATCTGTTCTCCATGATCTAGAACAGGGGTGGGCAAACTTTTTCTATAGAGGACCAGATATGGAATATTTGGGGCTGCTGGCCATACCACCTCTCTAAAAACCATTCAACTCTACTACTGTATCATGAGATCAGCTATAGACAATACATCAGTGAATGCATATGGCTTTGTTCCAGTAACTCTTTATTTACAAGAAAAGTAAAAAACTACGTTGCAGATTTGGCCCATGGACCAGGTTGCCAACCCCTGACTTAGAATGGTGGGGATTTTCTAATTAGAAAGGCAAGGCGATATACCCAACATTGACTCTTCCCCTTCTTCCTTAAAATCAAGTCAAAACCTTAATTTTATTTGACCAGCTATATAACTAGGGACAGGTAAGTTCTAACCAATGGGTGGGAGTTTGTTTAGTGAAAATTCTGTAAAAGGTCTTTAAAAGGGAAGAGGCAGATAAAGGCCCTTTACCCTCTCCCTGCCTGCTGCCTGCAGCTCAGACACATGGTTGTCTTTCCAGGGGCTCTGGCTGACCATGAGGGAACCTTTAGAATGGAAGCCATTTTCATGGATTTGGAAGGAAAAAGTTAGAAAGGACCTAAGATTCTAATAACCATATTAAACTATATTAGTTCTTTAACTGCTCACCTCTAGGCCTCTTTTATATCACCTTTTAAAGATATATATATATATATATATATATATATATATATAAAATTTAAGGCAGTGTTATTTTGGATTTTATTTTACTATGCATCAAACTTATTACCAATTCATATATAGCAGAATGATCACGAATCTAACATTTGACTAAAGTGCAATCGTGAAAATGTTAAAGCCCACCTGTTTATATTTATAGTGACAAATAAAATGGGCATCATTCCTTGTTCGAAATCATCTTTTCAGATGTTCCTTCTATTTAAATACTCTGCTACCATGCAAATGTATTTTAAATTGGCAAAGGATGGTTTTCACCAGGATTGATTCATGAACAACAGAATTTATGCACCCATAAGAACATCGCGTAAGAGAATATTGAGTCATTCTAGAAGGCCAGACAGCTCTTATCCCTTTAGACGTATAACTGTCATTTATTCAGCATTTGCATCACTAGCACCCCCTCCTGAGGGATTTACAGACCAATAAACAAGGCAAGATGAATCTATCTAAAAGTAGAAAACAATACTCATTCTCCACCCCCTTCAAAAAAAAAAAACAGGATAAAATCAGCAATCTATACCAAACCTAGCGAAGGAGTCCAGAGCTACGATATATAACAGATTAAATCTGTAAAATCAGCAGAGAAGAATTCTTTAAATATTCTCTGTAGAAAAAGAATGAATAGTAATATTAAGAGACATGAGGTCACAGCAATTAAGAATGTACATTTTAAATACTTTAGAGTTAAGTTTAAATTATTTTTTGTATAAAGAGATTTTTATTGATTTTAGGAAGGGAGAGAGAGAGAGAGAAACATCAATGATGAGAGAGAATCATTGATCAGCTGCCTCCTACATGCCCCACACTGGGAATTGAGCCCACAACCCAGGCACATACCCTGACCGGGAATTCAACCATGACCTCCTGGTTCATAGGTCAACACTCAACCACTGAGCAACACTGTCTGAGCAAGAGTTCAAGCCCTGACCAGTTTGGCTCAGTGGATAGAGCGTCAGCCTGCGGACTGAGGGGTCCCAGGTTCAATTCCGTCAAGGGCATGTACCTTGGTTGCAGGCACATCCCCAGTAGGGGGTGTGCAGGAGGCAGCTGATCAATGTTTCTCTCTCATCGATGTTTCTAACTCTCTATCCCTCTCCCTTCCTCTGTAAACAATCAATAAAATATATATATATTTTAAAAAGAGTTCAAGTTCCTTCTGTCACTTATAGCCATGTGATCTTGAGCAAGTCACCTCGCTCTCTAAGCCTGTTTGCACACCTATAAGAAGGGCAAGCAGTACCTATTAGGATGGTTGCTAGAGAATTAAGTGACATAACAACTGTTCAGCACTTTGTGTAGTTCCTGAGCACTTAGTATCCACCATTGTGTATTGGTTGGGTTACAGATTAGGCTGTTGTAACAGAGAAACAGAACGAGAGCAGCTCACTCCAGGGAGAGATATTTATTGCTCTCTGCATAACAGCTCAGAGGTGCCCCAGTGTGTAGGGGGCTGTGCTCCACCAGGTTATCTAAGGGCTCGACTCCCTTCCATCTTCCTGCTCTGCCATTTCCTACTCTACTGGCCTCAACTGTGTGAGTAGAGCTGGTTAACTAATATGCCATTTGGGGCTGGAAGGGAGCCAAAGAGAAAATGGAAGGCAAGCAATTTCCCTCTAAAGAGTTGTCATAGAAGTTGCAAGCATCACTCGGCTCATTTGCTACTGGGGGAAACTGAGTCATGTGGTGGTCACGTCTAGCCGCATGGGAGGCTAGCCACAGACTGCAATGCCTGTGGCTCAGTGTGGGCCAGTCACCTGGGGCCTGAGAGGCTGGATCAAGACGTAAGAGCTCAGCTCCTTCGGAGGAGGGAACTGCCCCGGCCCCTGTCCTGGGAAGGCACTGCGGGCAGACCACGCATTGTCAGGATTGACGTTGTCCACCATAATAACCGACTGGTGCTCCTATGGCATTCATTTTAAAGGAAAAGGCATTTGCGAACACCCTGGTGGAGACCCTTAATATAAGTACAGTGTGCAAAAGTGCATTACAGCCAACAGAAGGCAGAGCCAGCCACAGAAATCCTGCGTTTTGCCATTTACTTACATGCACTACATTTATTTGAAATTAATAAATGTAGGCCAATTGCCTGGTTTTAAATGATGCAAATGTCCTCCAGCCTAATTAGCATTTACAAGATCGTACTGGTATTTCACAAAAGATGATGGATTGATGTAATTAGCTTTAAACTCTAAATGCCCAATATAAATGCATTGAACTCAAGATTGTGAAGTAACTAAATTTGCCTTCTGTGTCTTTCCACCGCAAATCATTACCCTCCTTCCCGCTCCCAACACCACACATGCAGGCCACCCTGGGGTCATGCTTCCCTGTGACACCAGCCCACCCATAGGGCCAGCCTGCCACAGACTCCCCTGAGCTCCGTGCCCTCTCCCTGCCCTTCCCAGCCTGCTGTATCAGGTGCCATCCTCACCAGCCCAGTGGAAAGGGTCTGAGGAACTCAATTGCAATGTGGTTAATAATTGGTCTTAATTCCCTTATTTATATCATTAAAATTGTGCTGCTATCAACCATAGGAAGATTCTCCTGATAAAAATTTACATTGTTTTTCCCCTAAGAATCTAAGCGCCACTTGCCTCTATTACATTAACCCTATTACATTCCAGTGAGGTGGGTTTTAGAAAAAGTTAGCGTTCCCACTGTGAGGCAGAATCCGATTAGTGATTTTTTTCCCTGGATCACACAGAGAATGTGGCAGAGGTTTTGTCATACGCACTGTCTCTCCCCATTGGGTCACTAAATATGCAAGTGCCTATTAGGGCTCCGCCACCACTGACTGTCCACACTCTCCAACACATGGTGCTGCTGATGGTGACCGCGGAGCATATTTTTATCTTCCCCGCTGATTGCTTGAAACTATAAAGACATATTATCATTCATCAATGACTAGCCTATGGAACGCAGAGAACAAGAACTAATTCTGGTCCCTTAATTAATGGAATGATAGTCTATTTTCCAGCTCTGTAACTACAGGAATTTTTCATGAATTACCAGATGTTAGATCTCATTCATCTACACCGATAGCTAATAAAGCCATCCTGCTTGCCCTGCTGTGTCACTGAGCAAGCTCAAGTGATGTGACTTCCCAGCAACAGAGAGTCACAGCCTCTGAGTCCCAATAAAACTTGAAAAGGAAAAGACAATTATAATCTAAAAATCAAGTTTTGAGTATTTTGGCCAAGAAGAGCAGAGGTAATTTTGAAAAAGAACAACAAATAGGGAGGACCTAATTTAGCAGCTTTCAATACCAGCCATAAAGCTGTAGTGCAGTCACGTACCACTTAACGATGGGAATGTGGTCTGAGAAAAGCATCATCAGGTAATTTCGTCCTTGTGCAAACATTGTGGAGTGACTGACACAAAGCTAGATGGCATGTCCTACTACACACATAGACTATATGGCATAGCCGATCGCTAGAAGTCTGCACCTGTGGTACAGACTAAATCAAGCACAGGAGAAAATGATGCAACAGCCATTGAGAAAAATTTGATAAATCAGGCTACATTAAACTAAGTGTATTGTCATGGAAACACACCACACACACACACACACACACACACA